CCGACGGCGCTTGGAGGGAGCGCAAGGAGCCGGCGTGCGGGACGCAGCTCTGCCTTCGGGCGCTCTCGGAACTTCCTTTGCCCAAATCCGACGTGGCCAAGGCCGAGAGGTGGCGAATTCGGCACGGGAGCTCATTGCTTGTTTGTAATGGAAGGTACAAGCCAGGCAAGGAAAAATATCCCCTCGCTGTGGCTACATTCGCTTTTAGTGGCTTTCAGAGCCGAATCTGAGAATTCCTCTCTTTATATCCAGTCTCTCTTAATACAATTTTAATATTCTGGTTGATCCTAAAGATGCAACATTAACTATAGAAACAGCAGCAGAAAAGCGGGGGCGGGGGGGTACAAGACATTTTTTTTAATACAAAAAAAAAAAAATTGTTGCTTACAAAACATATGCAAAAGAAGCTAAAAAAAAAACCAAAAGGCATTGCTATTTGTTCTACATAAAAAATCTCGTAACTAATGTTCTTTTTTTTAAAAAAAAAGAAATATTAAGCTTAGGCACAATTTTGCTGCTGGCTGCTTGTGAACAAGCCAAGAGAACACGCCACCCCCTCCTAACTGAGTGATATGTATTGACTGTTCCGCACTTTATACTTAAGGCAATTTTTTGTTTTCGTTTTGACAAAAGTGTTTTTTCGTTTTGTTTTTCCACCCCTTACGTCACGCCAGGATCCGTCCACGTGTGTCAGTATTAGCAGTACTAGAGTTTATGGTTCGAGAAGGCTGCAGGTCACGCTGAGGGTCTTCTCTTCCTACACATCTCTGTATCCCAGAGGAGCGGCAGGAGCTGCAGGGAAACCGAACCCACGCGAGCGTCAAAGCCACGGGGAGCTCCCGCGGGAAGGCGCTCTCCTGGCTCCGGTGCGGATGCCCGACGGAGCAGCCGGGACCAAACAACCCGGGTAAACGAAGCGCATGAGCACGTCCATTAACAAGGATGGACCTGAGGCAGGATGGTGCGCCGGGGTGGACAGCGGCACCGGCACCGCGAGGGGCTCCCGCAGCGGCGCCGAGATGGGCAGCGAGGCCCAGATGGTACCTTCACATGTGTCCCACAGGGTTGTGACCATCTCCTAGTCCAGGATGTGAAGCTGAAAGTGTCATCTGGGGATCTCCGACCACTCCGGACACCTTCTCCTCTTCCCGGCGCTTCAAGCAGGCGGCTTTCGGGTTCAGGTTGCGCTCTGGGCCAAAGAGAGCAAGGGAGGGAGCCTCAGGGTGCACGACGGCAGCGTCTGGGGGACGGCGAGGACGGAGCGCGGACACCCGGGACCGCGCGAGGACGGAGCGCGGACACCCGGGACCGCGCGAGGACAGAACGCGGACACCCGG